ACTACGCTGTCCCAGGTTCGGTTCCTGTTGGAGCTGGGTTCTTGGATGGTGTCCCTGGACCTCCTGGATGCTTATTGGCACGTCCCGATTCATCCGGGGTTCAGGGACTGGCTCGGTTTTGTGGTGGGGCGTCAAGGTTACCGCTTTCGTTGCCTCCCGTTCAGGTTGAATCTGGCACCTTGCGTGTTCGTGCATCTTACGCGGGTCGTCATGGCCCGTCTGCATCTCTTAGGTGTTCGGGTGTTGGCCTACCTCGATGACTGGCTGGTTTGGGCTCCCAGCCGGTCTTGTTGTCTGCTAGCCAGGAATCTGGTTCTTTCCCAGCTTGCCAGGTTCGGGTTCTTGGTAAACTGGAGGAAGTCCCATCTGGTTCCCTCCCATGTTCGATCATGGCTGGGTCTTGTGTGGGACTCTCGGACCGCTTCCTTGTCTCTTCCTCCGGAGTCTCTCCTCTGGCTGCAGTCCCGCTTGCGCCTGTTTCTGGGGGGCTCCCGGGCCACTCGGGGGTTGCTCGAGGATTGTGTGGGAGCCTGAACTTCGTGATGTTGGTCTACCCGCCGGGTCGGGTTTGATTTCGTCGGCTGTTCTGGAAGTGTCCGTTCTTCTGTCAAGACCACTGCATGGTGCGGGAGTTCGCGGCGGTGTGGTTTGCTCTTCAGAGGATTCGGGTTGCCCACGGATCGACGATCCGGCTCCATTCGGACTGCTCCTCAGTGGTTCATTGCCTGAACCGAGGGGGTTCAATGCGGTCCTTGGCTCTTTGGTGCTGGTTGCTTCGGGTGACTCGTTTGCCGAGTTCTTTGGGTTTGGCTCTCCTTTCTGTTCATGTGCGGGGAGTGTCCAATGTCTTGGCTGACAGCCTGTCTCATTCCGTTCCCCTTTCCACGGAATGGACAGTCGACGCCGACTCCTTCCGTTGGCTATGCCAGATGTTTGGACGCCCCAAGGTGGATCTCTTCACGTTGGAGTGGTCGCGGCGCCTTCCCCCTGTATGTGGCACCCTTCCCTGACTGTGAGGCCGTCAAGATCGATGCCTTTCGGCAGGACTGGGCAAGGTGGGGGTTCCTGTACCTCTTTCCCCCGGTTCAGCTGTTGCTCCAGATCCTGGCTCACTTGGAGACTTACCAGGGGAAAGTAGTCCTCATGGCCTCTTGGTGGCCGGCCCAACCGTGGTTTCAGGCGCTGCTTGCTCAGTGTCCGAACCCGAAGGTTTTCCCACAGCTCCGCCTCTTCCAGCAGATCGGACTGGAGCATCACGTGGATAGTTCGATCTTCTCCACTAGTCTTTGCGTATGGTCTTTTTGACTCGAGTTTATCATCATCTCTATGGTGATCAGGTGGCTTCCTTGTTAGTGTCCCACCTGCAGGCTTCGTCTCGGTTGCAATATGAAGTTTCCAGTTCTTTTTGTCTTCGTCATAGTACTTCACTTTCTGTTCTGGTCATGTTGTCCTTTCTCTCTGGTTGTTTCAGGACCGTTATCTTATACCTAACACTGTCGCCTCGTATTGTGCGGCGCTGGTGGAGCCGCTTCAGCTTGCTTTCGGTATGGATGTTACTTCTGCGCCATTTCTCAAGCTGTCTCATGCATTGTTTCACCTCCAGCCTGCTCATGTGCCGCCTGAGCTGGAGTGCTGCTCTGCTCCAAGCTCAATGTCTACAACAGCTGTATCAAAGACTACTAAATAAATATGAAACATACTAAACACTTTGTATCAAATCTACCCAACAATGTAACATAATCATACGTTATAATGTACAGTTATCTGACTGTTCGTTTTTAAGATTATTATATGAATAAATAGAGATCTGGTGGCATGGCAAATGTCCCATTTTCAATGAGAAGCCACGAAATCCAAATTTCTTTGAATGATTCACTAAGTTACTTTAGGGTAGATTAGTGTACTTCAGGTAGAAGTACATACATTGATGAAGAGTTACAAACATAATGTTAGATTTATAGATAGAGCTAGTACTTACAATACCTAAAGCCACTAATACGCATAGCGTTTCGGGCAAGGAGATCTTGCCTGAATCTTGGTATGGTACAAGATCTTGGTATGATACCTTGGTATCTTGGTATGGTACCAAGATCAAGATTTTGATATGCTACAAGTTAGTATATAGTGTCAGAATTTCCGACACCACTTGCTGACCACCCAAACAGGGTTGATGAGCATTTCCTCACCTTTCTTCAACTCATTTGCGTTTCCAGTTTCTACTTACGCCCTCTCGTCCTACTTTCTATGAATTTAAAGTCTGTCCTTGTACACCTTGTCTACCTTAAGGCACTGTAGATTGCCTCAAGTCAAAGCAAGAGATGGGTATGATCACCATTTTGATCAGAGAGAGAGAGAGAGAGAGAGCGCGCGCGCAAGCAAGAGAGAGAGAGAGCGTGCGCAAGCGAGAGAGAGAGAGAAAGAGAGAGAGCAAGAGAGCAAATAAACAGACAGAATAAGAAAATTCGACATAAACTGGGTCGACCAGGGCAAAGAGAGAAAGAGAGATAAAGGAAGACAAACAGAAAAACAAACAAAACATTGAAGCAGAGGTAGACAGAGTTAAAGATGAACAGCAAGACAGACAGATAGGGAGAGGAGGGAATGTTTGAGGAAGGGAAGGAGAAGGGCTATAATTTGACGACAGGGTAAGAGAGGGAGATGGAGAGAGCAATGAATGAGTGGAGACAGGTGGAGAGAGAGGGTGAGAGGGGGAAGATTTGCAGAAAGGGAGGAGAAGGACAAGAAGTGTGAGAGGGGAAGAAAGATGGAGTGGGAGGGAGATGGGAAGAGCAGGGAATAGGAAAAGAGATGAGAGGGGGGGGGAAGATTGTGAGAGAAAAGGAAGTGGTGAAGTGGAGGGAGAGACCCAGACAGCTGGGTACCCCACTACTCTACCCTTATTTGTAAGAGAGAGAGTCTGTCTGTCCATAGATGGAGGCCAAACACTTTGAGCTAGCCTCACCCTACTTTATAGGGTAAATGGCTTTGGGTACAGGACAGACATGAGCTAGTCGGGGTTAGCCTAAGTTAAATGCTTTAAGAAATAATTATTAATAATAATTCATTGTTTCAAGAGACAGGCAGCCAGTGTAGTTATGCACATTAGGCTTATATCGAGGTCCTCCCCCCCCTCCATCCCCCCGAGGTTGAATTTGGAGCTTTGGAAATTTCTCTCAGTTGGGGCTTTGTGACCAGTGCTCACCAGGCCAGCCAGGCGCATTGGGTGGCATCCTTCCTTTGAGCTCACAACACGGTGTGAGAGTTTGCGGCTGTGTGGCAGGCGCTGCGATAGATCCGGCTCCATTTGGACTGCTCCCCATGGTTTATTGTCTCAGTCATGGGGGTCTCTTCAATCTGTGGCTTTGAGGCTGGTCGTTTGGGTAGCTCTTCTTCTGAGTTCTTGGGGTTTAGCTCTCTGTGCTGTTCACATTCCGGGTGCGTCCATCATCCTGACAGACGGCTTGTCGCGCTAGATTCCTCTTTCCACGGAGTGGATGGTTGACTCCACCACCTTCTTTTGGCTTTGTCAGACGTACAGGCACCCAGGAGATGGACCTCTTCACGTCTGCGTGGTCTTGGCATCTCCCATTGTACGTGGCCCCATTTCCCGACTGCGAGGCCCTCACAGGAGATGCTTTTCTGAAAAATTGGTTAGAGTGAAGGTTCCTGTTCCTCTTGCCCCCGGTTCAGCTGTTGCTCTGGGTTCTGGCTCATCTGGATTCATATCAGGAGTGAGTGGTTTTCCTGGCTCCCATGGTGGCTGGCCCAGCCTTGGTTTCAGGTGCTGCTTGCTCGGTGTCCGAACCCAGGTGATTTTCCGCAGCTCCGCCCCTTTCAGCAGGTCTGGTTAGTGAGGTACCTCACTGGTTCGCCTTACTGCTCCACACTACGCGTCTGGTTTTTTTATGTGTGTGTATCACCATTTTTATGGTGATCAGTTGACTTCTTTGATGGTGTTCCACCTTTTCAGCGACAGTATGAAGTTTCTTGGTAGTCTTTCTGCCATTTTCTTTCTCTTTGTCAGTCTTTGTCAATTTCAGACCAAGTTGTTTTGTCCTTTCTTTCTCGGCATCTCATGCCTATTACTGTCACTTCATATTGTGCTGCATTAGTGGAGCTGCTGCTGCTACTCGTGCTTAGGGGTAGATGTTACTTCCGCTCTGTTCCACTAGCTTTCTCATGCATTTTTTCAGCTTTGACCTGCTTATGTGCCGCCTGAGCCTTCTTGGTCTTTGGACTGCGTTCTTTCTTTTCTTTCTTCTCCTCGCTTTGTTGTATCCCCTTCAGTTCGGGATTGCTTTTGGAAGGCCTTGTTTTTGTTGGCCTTCACCACTGGGGGTTGGCACCGCAGGTCTTGAGACCTGCGGTGCTGACGCCTCCCGGGTAAGTCCCTCCTTTTACTTTGGGTAGTTAGCTTCAGGAGAGCCCCCCGGTGGCTCCCTGGCACCCCCCACCCTCCCTCTGGTCATTGGTTTTCATGGTTCAAGAACTGGAGTGGAGGGCTGCCAGCTCACCAGACAGGTTAACCAGACAGTGGTCTGTTTTGATTTGCCTACCTTTCTGGACCATTCCCTGGTCGATGGCAATTATGTCATACCTTAAATGTAAAGTGCTCATAAGCCATTGCTTGATGCACCTCTCTGAGGGGACCAGGTTCTGGCTCATGGTCCCTGATAAGTATAAGGACTCTTGTGATTGATGACCCCAATCTAATATAGCACATATCAATTTGGATAGCTTCAGGGAGCCTCTGGGGCTCACCCAGAAAATGTTTCATTATATTCAACGTTGATTTTTTCATGTGCCATTGAGGAAAATGTTGTGTACAATTCACCTCATGGATGTATCACTTAGGCTAGGACTCGGTTGTCATAGCTAGACACAATATGTGACACAGATGCAACACAGTGTTGTATTGCTGCCGTTCAGGATTGGTTCATAATGGTGTGTCAAATGGTTTGTGTCACAGCACTTGCTAATGTCTTGTCTTTTTGCCACAGATGGAAGCACAATTCCCAGCATCACACACAACAACAACAGCACCTCAGGACAGTGTGGACAACAAACGTATCTCAATCAACAGTGGTTACCTCCGCACCAATGAAGGCCGCCTCAAAGGTGCCCACTTGGTGAGTGTTGGTGATGGGGGTGGCAGAGATTTTGGTATTACAGTGATGAACATTAAAGTGATTATGTTGAGAATAATATATAGTAATGGCAAATACATTTATCATAAGATGAATTTTCATTATTACAGACTAAGTGTAGGTTTTGTGTGTTGGATATTAGATTTAAACTGACTTTCAACATAAAATTATTTCTAACATGAAAAATTTTAATATTTGTATTTTGAAGATATTAACCACTGCACTGCGCAAAGCGCCTTTAGGCGCTCAGAGAGTTGTGCTTTTTGTTTTTTAATTTGGCTATATTTTAATGTTTTTTAATGTTTTCATTACTATTTGTGTTTTGAAATGGAAATAGTTGACTTTGGAAACATTTTGACATTAAATTTACCTGAACATTTGTAAAAATAATAAAAATATGTCCTTGTCAATTGCACCAAGACGTTTTTGCCGAAAATAGGTGAGCAGTGCAAGGGTTAAAGATTACTAAATAACCACACATTTGCACATGTTAGCAGTTGTTGTATGGACTTAGTTTTGATCTTCCGCTGTTCACACTTTTGAAAGATAACATTCACATTTAAATGGTGTAATTAAGTTAGCAAATTGTTGCAGTTATGTCAATTAGGGCCAAGTCATATAATCATGTTTATACAGTAGTTCTGAAATAAGAAATTAAGTTCATGTCAGATATTTAATTGCTTATTAAATTTTGTTAGACTAACAGCACGACTTTCGTTACAGGTGATCTGTATTGTGGTCTTCATCTGCACTATGGCCTCAAATTTTCCTCGTAGCAACCGGGCCAACTGGCTGAGCTTTGTGTCCATGGGTGGCTTTTGGACCTCTGCAGTACTTCTCTTCCTGTATATAATCAATGTTGTAGTCCTTTTGTCCATCATACCCTGGCTTATGCTGGTAAGCTCTCTAGTCTGAAATACTCTTGCTGTTTTCATTAATGTGTTACCAATGTTATTCTAGTATTTCTGTACATGTACAGCATATCAGTCCCTCCGTGTACATGCACACAGGCACTAGGGTATCTTGCCCAATATAAAGTTTTCTAGCCAGATTTATTTGATCATATGAAATTTACAAATAGGTGGCATTAGTATATTGGGGTTTTCCCACAAAATTCCAAAGAGGTTGCCTATCAATTCTGTAATTAGAATAATGGCAAATACCCTCCACACCCCCTTATATCTCTCTAAAAGTCTCAACAAAATTTACACATATAAATAAAACCAGCATTGAATTTAATGAAATGCCTCTATCTGGTATGGATTCTTGGTGGCTTCTTGGTGTTTGCTGCCTGACCCAATTCAATACATTCCACCCAATTTAGTCCACATGAAGCCCTTATGAGTCTTGTAAAGATGCTAGGGACCAAGGGCCAAAATCTGGCCCTGCTCCCTGTTCTAAAGAGGTACAAGGAGTAGGGGTCCAAGATCATCCAAACCAAGAAAAGGCTACCAGAAAGGTGAGTGAACCAAAGCATACAAACAGTAAGGTAAAAGGCATAGAAAATGGTAGAGTGAAGAACTGAGACAGATGAACCATCTGGTTGCAATGCAGTTCATTAGTTCCACCTGCACACCATCCTCCTTGATCACCAATACCTTGACACCTCAGTCATTTAGCCATGATGATGGAAAACTGAAACCCCTGAATAGGAAAGGGAGGGAGGGAGTTTCATGGAGCCAGCAAGGACCCAAAACAATGTGACGCTTCAATATACTGTACTCTATTGAATGGTGGTTATCTTGGAAGGCTCCTATAGTGGCTCCTCAGTGCTATATCACCATGGAGAAAAAACAAAAGGGGACTCACTAGGGACTGAGGAGAGCCACAGAAAGCAGCCCATCTTGAAATGGTATGTTAGTGACAAGTTAAGTGCTGTATATTATGTCAGTAATATATAAGAGGAACCTCGGGTGATGAGCAGCCCCATCTACGAGCATTTCAGGTAACGAGCGAGCCACTCGCAGAAAATTTGTCTCGATTGATGAGCTTCTGCTTGGTTAATGAGAAAACCACGTGGTACTTCCTAGCATTCCCGCTGGTTCTCACAAATTCTCGGATGCCTCCGACAACAGTGTTGTTGTTTTATCACACAGGATAAGCATCCTTTTGCATTTGTTTGTGCATTTCTTTGGTCGTTTTATAGTTTTGTGACTACAATGTGTAACCCCACAATGTCGCCAAAGAAGCTGCTTGCTAAAGATAGTGTTGTCAAGAGGAAGAAAGACACAATTACTGTAGATTTGAAGAAGGAAATCATAGCAAAGCACGAGGTAAAGTACAATTGAAAATAGTAAAACAAAACATTTATAATAATTACATGTATTATAAATACATTATAAAATTTCATATTGATGTTTTTTGGGGGTGGAACGGATTAATTATATTTCCATTATTTTAAATGGGAAAAGTCGTTTCACATGACAAGCTCAGTGCCGGAACGGATTAAATTCGTTAACCAAGGTTCCACTGTATGTGCTCCAAACTCTCATTATGTGCAGATAATGAGATGGGTTTTGTTAATTCTACTTAGTCCACTAATTACGAATTCATACCTCTTCCCAAATTATAGTTAACACTTCTTCCCTACCTGCTAGAGGATGGCGAGGTGTGGACCGATTATATAGCCCATCGATAAGCAAATAATCTGTCTCACGGTTACAGCCCCGCTCCTGTGCCAGGCAAGTCCACTACAGGCTCACCATAGCCTGTGCTACTTGGAACTTTTTGTTCCACGTAGCTGAATCCAAAACAACAACAATAACAACAACGAATAATCTTCAGTCTAATTTCAAAAAGAGGTTCAATACAGACACTTGAGAGATACCGCACATCTTCAGTATTCACCAACAACAATGTAATACTCGGCATGTCCTGTTTCTACCCTGGCAAGACACTTCAGCCTTGACACAGAGCAGACAGCCAGCCCCATCAAGCTTCCACTCTCTTGTCCCACATCGAGCTCCTCGATTCCACCTGTATTCAGAGCACCACGCTCTACAACTCTCTCCCCGCATCTGAGCTCTCTACCCTTCTATGAAATAGGGCTGACAATGACAATACAACCTCTATCATAAGGTTGGTTTGGTGACATATTTCGCTGGTTAGACTTCTCCTCGCTTCTTTGCATCTGGGCTTTTTAAGGTATCTTTATTGTCTTCTTTATGGTAACCAGGTAGTTTTTTTTAATGATGTCCCACATGCATTATTCTAGGTGACAGTACTCTGTATGAGGTTTCGTGATGCCTCTTTCTCCACTTTCATTCCCTTTCTCATTTTTTTCAGTTTCCGAGTGTGTGGCACTCTCCTTTCTTTCTTTCTTTCTTGGCTGGTTTTTGATCGGCATCTCATGCCATATAGAGTGGAACCTCAATTCAGTGAATCTCCGGTTGGTGCGCACACTTTCTAGGCTGAATTTAATCATCCGATTTGACAAACACTGGTTCTCTGAAACGGGGATGTACAGATTTGCTTAGGATATTGGAACAGAGTTCACAGACTGGTGGAAATATTTCCCATCATATCACAGGTTAAAATTTTAAAATCCCTTCATGTGACAAATTGAAATTGAAATTTTCTCAGTGAAATCCTCTCCCCTCCCTGTTTCTTTCCCCTCCCTCACTGCCTCTTCCCCCTTCTCACTGACTCTCTCCCTTCCTCACTGCCACTCTCCCTTCCTCACTGCCACTCTCCCTTCCTCACTGCCACTCTCTCTCTCTCCCTGCCTTTCTCACCACCTCCCTCCCTTTATCATTCCTTCTCCCCCTCATCCCTCCCTCCCTTTCTCATTGCATTTTCCCCTCCCTCATTGCCTTTCTCTCACTACCTCCCTCCCTCCCTCTCACTACCTGTATCCTTCCCTCTACCTTTTCTGGTGAAGAGCAAGTTGATTGGCTTCCAGAGGGGTCCTTTGGGTATTGCCACTTTGTTGGTTTGGTTCATCACAGCACATCATGTGCTGTGTCCGGTGGCAGCTTTCTGCAGCTACCTTCGAGACACTGATTCTGGTTCAGTGGATTCTTTGTGGATTGATCCTGTTTCATTGGTTCCCTGTTCGAAGGCTTATATTTCTCAGGTTGTCTGCAGTATTATTAAGGTTGGCCAACCTGCTCTACCCTCTTGCCCTTGATAGCCTCCCTCTCTACAAAGAGAGCTACATGAACTCCACAAATGGTTAAAAGACTGGCAAATGCTTTTTAATACTGATAAATGCAAAGACCTTGCATGTGGGCATAGCAACCCATGCCTCAACTACCAAATTTATAACATTGAATTACAGCAGATTGATGAAGAAAATGTCCTTGGAGTCAAACTCCACCACTCACTGAAAGTTGCACAACAGGTAGGAGCAGCAGTCAAAAAACCAGTGTTGAATGTAATGAAATTTGAAAAAATTATTTACAAACAGCTCTATTCCTTCCTCGTAAAATTCGACATACTCAGCCCCTGCCAGTTTGGCTTCCGGTCCCAAAAGAGCACCAATGATGCAATCATTAGTCTCCTTGACGTAATCTACTCAGCCCTTGACAAAAATGAGTTTCCGATTGGACTCTTCATTGACCTAAGAAAAGCCTTTGATACTGTTAATCACAACTACCTCTTACTTAAACTCCAGCATTATGGAATCTGAGGCCTTGTCCTTGATTACATCCGATCCTATCTTAGTGACAGACACCAATCAAAAATAAACAAAAAATCAAAATGTTTATTTAGGTAAGGTACATACATAAAAGAGATTTTACAAAGAGTGATGGATTTATAGATAGGGCTAGTACATACAATGCCTAAAGCCACTATTACGCAAAGCGTTTCGGGCATAAAAAACTTAAGTGACTAAAGCTTCATACTAATTGAGCATAAATAGTAAAATGAAAACATGGAATAAAAACATAGCTGAAAAAGCAGCACAAATACAATTCTGTCGACAAACAGCGCTCTTTAAAAAAAAAAAAAAAAAAAAAAAAAAAAAAAAAAAAAAAAAAAAAAAAACACTCCAATGTGTAACCATCAATGATACAACTTCTTCCACTCTACCAATTACCGTTTGAGTGCCACAGGGCAGTATCTTAGGACCTCTTCTATTTCTTATATATATAAATGATCTGCCTAATGTCTCTAATATTCTTAAACCTATATTGTTTGCTGACGATACTACCCTTATCTATTCAGACCTCAACCCACATACACTAAATAATGTTGTAAATAATGAATTAAAAAAAGTCCACTTATGGATGTCAACTAACAAACTAACTTTAAACATAGAAAAGACTTAACTACATCTTATTTGGAAGCAAATCATCAAATGCAATTCAGCTACAGATATACAACATTAACATCAGTAATAAAAATGATGGCAAGTTTCTTGGCCTATTCCTAGACAAGAGACTCAACTTCAGCACCCATATTCAACACAACTAAGAAAGTCTCTAAGACAGTTGGTATACTCTCTAAAACAAGATATTATGTTCCTAACTCTGCTCTCCTCTCACTATATTATGCACTAATCTACCCCTATCTTAATTATGGTATCTGTGCATGGGGGTCTACCACTGCAAACCACCTTAAACCCATCATCACCCAGCAAAAATCTGCTGCTATCAGAATAATAACTAACTCTGCTTTCAGACAACACTCAGCTCCCTTGTTTAAATCCCTAAACTTGCTAAATATTAACTCCCTCCACACATTCTCTTGTGTCAACTACATTTACAAAACCCTGTTCTTAAATGCAAACCATGCTCTGAAACTCTCCCTGGACAGATGTAATAGGACCCATTATCACCACACCATTAATAAATATCTCTTTGATATCCCCAGGGTCAAACTTAATCTGTGTAAACACTCTATGCAAATTAAGGGACCTAGTCTATGGAACTCAATCCCTAGTGAATTGAAAG